TCCGCTGTGACGTTCAACACGGGTGAACCATGGTTACATGCGTGTTAGTTGTTCGTCTGGAGTCCACTGAACACCCAGTGAACTCTTCCCTATTGGATGGTCCGTCCCGACCATTAATCCGTGGTCCTGCCGTGCCTGTGCCGCCCGGTGGCTCATGTAGCCGGCCTACCCTGCGACCTACACTGCAGCCTGCGGCTGGGTCGTAACACTCATTGACTTACTTGAGGTGTTCACCGTCACGAACGAATTGGTCGAAGCTGACGGCATAGACCTGCTTGTAGTATGGTTGTACTGAGGTGATTACCGAGTCCGATAACTAGTCTTAAAAGCAAGACTAGATACTTGCGCTATTTCATCCTCTGGGCGCCGGAACTTGAGTCCAATCTCCTCTGATAAGACGTAGCACCTAGCATTATATCTTTATCTCTTGACACGCACACTGCAGGCTCCTGAAGAAACTGTCGAAACATGGTGTGCTACCGAAATGTTAAGATAAGAAGACATGATGAGTATACTAGTTGCAGAGAATGCAGAAAATATGCTAACGGGAGGCTCGGAGGTGAATGACAGAAGCAGTGTGTTGAGAATGACGTTGCACGAGGGACTGGTATTACAGGTTGCAGCGGAACAGTAAAATGAGGGCATGCAAAGGAAACCAAGTCGGCTTTGGATCGCACATCGTAGCTTGTGGCTACTAAGCTGGGTGGGTGGCAGATCATGCCCCGCACATATGCGTTGCTCCCAGAATTGAGGAATATGACATCGCCCCTTGCAACATATATAACATGGATGAAAAAGCATTGCTCTTGGGTGTTATCAATAGAACTAAGAGAGTCTCTATCTTTAATGTCAAAAAGCAAAACAATCTGCTTCTTGCATGGCAAGGTGGTACTCCATACTGGATTACAATCCAGACTTGCCTTTGACAGGGTATGAGGTTGCCGCCCCATTCCTCATATACGAGGACAAACCATGTCAAGCCCGAAATATTTGGCTCCTAGAGTTTAGCCTTAAAAGGCGATCAGGCCGATCTGGGGCCTTATAAATGGAGCAGGCAGAGTATAAATTTAAAGACAAATGAGTCCTCGCTTGCTTACCCACCACCATCGCAAGGGGTGGAAAAGGTTGCGATTCTCTCCTTCCCATTAGCTATTTATAGTCTTTTCATGTTAATATGGACCTCCTGTGATGGTATGACAAGCATCAGATGGTCGCTACAGTGTTTTCCTCATTTAACACCAATTCACATATGGCACCAGACTACCCGTTCCCGAGGGAGTGGATGATCGACAAGGGAACAGGCCGCGGTGCGACACGAAACGCGCCACTAGAGAGAGACCTGCTCCGATGGATGCCTATGTATTGCTTCTTTGTCCCGTCTTCATCATTTCCACACTTTTTTTTTGGACGTGGCTGTCCTCGGTATACGCAACCTGAATGCTGTCTTGTTTTCTTTTTTTTGTTTGCTTTTCTTGTCCGTTTTTCTTTTCTTTGCTTTTGTTTCTTTGCGCTAACTCGTGTTGCCCCATTTGTTCCCAATGTCACGACGGCAGATGATAGATCGCGAAATCAACTCCAGCATCAGGTGTCAACTCGGCCTTGGTCGCGGCCCAACGGCGAGACGGGAGTCGGCCCGCCTCCCAGGTCATTCAAGGGGTGATGGTGTCTTCGGATGTCAGAGTGCGCCATGATCCAATTTCGGATCCATTCGCCGTGAGTTCAAGGGTCAACGAATCATGAGACCTTGATGCAACAAGCTGAAAGCAAACATGTAGTGCATAAATAACTTCACCCTCGCCTCCCATCGAGCGATGACAATCATGGGGGAAACAACACAGCCTCCATACTAAGATTCACCCTCACAACTTCATCTTATTGTCATCTACCACAAGCAATATGGTTACACTTGAACTTGACGACCTTCACTCTCTGCACAATGCTCGTAAAGAGAGGCAGCGTGCTGGGTCGAACACGGCACATCGGATGGAGCATAAGCAATTGGTGGCCTTTTATGGGAGGCGGCAGCGACTATTTAGCGCTTACATAGCAAGACACTATGGCAGCAGCTGGAGTACGAGCAAGGGCATGAGAAGAATTGCCCGGCGGCTGGGACGGCGGCAGAGAGAACCGGAAATCAGAACCGACGCCGAGCAAGAATTTGCGCGCCTCCTTACTGCCCACAGCCTCGTAGGGAAGGACCACGCCAGCATTGACATTCTGGTATGGGACCAGATGTCGCTCATGACGGACATGTTCGCAGAGCCCCAAAAGCGTGAGGCCGATAGAAAGTTGGAGACTGCCGAGACCAAGGATCGACAACCACGATTGGTGGCTCGCAGCACTGACACGGACGAGGCTTCGAAAGCCCGAGGCCAGTCAAAGCAGCTGATGGTCAGGTCTGGCGGCCTTGGAGATGACGTCATGCCGTTTTGCTGCGACAGCCTGTATGACTATGAGGAGTATGCCGAGGATGGCAACGTGTTGTGGAGGACCACTGCTACCTGGGACCACATCTTTGATGAAGCAGCATATGCGAGGAAGGATGCCATGTGTCAGGCTGAGGTTGACGAGTCCAACGCCGACGACTGGGGTGTTGCTGCCGGCTTTACTCACTACGAACACAGGCTGCTGCGGAACCCAAAGTACACATTAAACGGAAACAAGGACTTGGGGAAACAATTCTTGTGCATGTTTAAAGGCAACGAGCGGCTATATGACTGCAGCCAAACAGTAAGCGCCCTGGCTCGCGCCGCTCAAATATCCCCCCTGGCCTCCACGTCCATCAGTGTTACGGAATACAGCCTTTACACAGGCGGCCCGGTGGCTGTACCACCGCCGTATTCGTTCACCTTTCCTTCCGAGGTGGTTGCCCCAAACTTGCAATTGGGCGAAGCAGGGTGCGTATATCTCAATGGGATGGAGGTGAAGAACACCAAAAGACACCGCGCCGAAGCAATATCCATGGCACAGCCGCGCCTTGTGCCAGACTTCTTGCGGGCCGGGGATGTTTCCCCATGTTTCTACAACATGTGCATAGTGGCTGGCCGGCTGAGATATGACTGCTTTGATATGATGATGGGCAGTTATGCATTCACCATGGCCGACTACGCTGACAAATTCGGCGCCGACAAAACGGCAGCAACCCATGGCTGGGCCAATGCTGTCATCAACAGTTTCGTGAACCCCAGAGCCGTCCACTACAACATCGAATCGTCCATGTGTACTGCGGACGTGATTGTGCAGAGACTCATTGACAACTATGAACGGGGCCCGTTGCCTTCACCCGAGAGCTCTTTGACGCGCGGTGGATTGATGGTGCGCTCCCACAGTTCATCGACCTAGCCCTACGGTGCCAGGTCGGCGGAGGGACGTACAAGGGCTGGTACGACAGTACCTGTATTTACGTGCGTCAAGCACTCGAGAGCGTTGCCACGTTCCACGACTTCTGGGACCTGATCGAGGACACTGCTGGGGGCGAGGGTGGAAATATGTGCAGGCTTTACACCAAGGAAGCGCTTTGCCACATGGCCGACTGGTGTCACGACATAGGCAGACGGCTGGCTGAGTGTGAGTGCGGCGACCGGATGCATGGCTTTGGCTATGTCTGGTTCCTGGTCAGCGAGCTGTACTATGTTACCACCGCCAGATGGGGACTGTTGACTGCGCGCGGAGATGGCCATGAGCCTCTAAGCTACCACAGCAGAGAGCCGTGGCTGACTGACGGGACACCGTACTGGACGACGGATGTTGTGCGAGTCAAGGAAGCCAGGACGAGACTGGTGGAATCCATGATCGGCCGAACATGCCGTGATCTTGTCACACTGGCCGTGTCCCCCGATGTTCACCCAGAGATGCAGAATCTCATGCGCATGTGGGGGAGCGTTTCCAACAGAACGTTTGCCGGTAGTGTCAAGATGCACTACCACATGAGCAACGCGGTAGCTGCTTCCGCACCGCTTGGCGTACGCAGAGCCGACGTCGACTGGAGAACCTGGGTTGAGGTATACAACGCCCTGAGCTACGAGGTGTCCTTCAACCCGAGCAGTCCGTACCGGTGTGTGACGTCGCGGTACGCAGAAGTCCTGGATGTCCAGTTTCGCAGCAAGGGGCGAATATCACACGCGATAAACACAGAAGTAACTGATGAGTACGCGTGTTATCAGAGGAATAGCGGAGGTACCGCAGCCTATGTGGATTAGGAGTGAAAAGGGGCACGCACCAGCTATAGTCAGGGATGGATCAACTAAGGTTGGGGGGCCAATAGATTGGCTCTGCGGCAGTTATGACGGAATAGGGAATACGTGTATCTCACACATGACATCATGTCAAAGAATATAGTTTGTGTCAAAGTACTTGAGAGTAGCCGAATATGCGGGCGTTGAGAACGGTCTTCGTCTACAGAGCATAGGTGCCCACATTGCTCATTGGGTTCCTTGTTGGTCAAAGCAAAACAAAAGGCGGTACGGAGTCATGTACTGCAAATTATGTTCGCATTGATGGGCACGGAAATGAGGTTCGACGATAACGGAATGCGGATCTTTGTCTGTTCCAGCGGTCCTTAAATATTTTCCTCATCCCTCGAAATCGCACCTCAGCTTCTGCGAATATCGCGCCCGCCCGGCGCCGTCGAGGTCTCGCTGAGGGAAACCCTGTATCCTCGTTGCTACGATGATGAAGACGACGATGACGACGACGACGATGACGACGAACCCTTGTAGTATTAATAATAGCACCATCGCCTATTGCATGACGACCCACGGTAGTACCGGCCGGTGGAAACTGATCTGTTATTAATGGAATAGCTTCAAAGGCGTGAACTGTACAACAATCAGCAGGGAACTTGTCGAGTGGAGAACCTAGTTGCATCAAAAGGTAGGAGTCAGAGGAAACAGGGAATACTCAACTTAGGCGCCTCTGCCTCGTCATTGCCCGGAAGCCGAGCCTGACCGCGGATCATATATGCTCCCCCAGCATCCAACAGATCACCATAAAATACTATTTGGAAGCTTCTCCGATCTCCTGCTGGACGTCATTATCGCCTTCCTCGAACTCGCATAGGGCATTACTCGATATGCGGAGTCCGGGATTCTATCTACCTCGGCTACCCGGGCGATAATAGTGAACCATGTAGACATAATGAGAGAGAGCAATGGAATATTGTGAAATACCACATGATTTGTATGTTACAGCTCGTGGCTATAACTTCGCTAAGAGTTGGCAAATGGAGGACATGTTAAAATGTTGACCTTGAGAGCTTGCGGACTTTGGGAACTTTGGGGCCAGTGGCGGCATTAGGGACAACGAGGGACCTGCGGGACCCCCCTAACCCCCCCGCAGTGAGGATGCGAAGAAGCATGGGTTGGGTGCCTAAGCCCATAGAGGTAAGAAAAGATGACATCAATCGTGCAACATGGCACTAGGGGAGCTGATTCGGCATTGGCAGAATTGGCATGCAAGAGAGGCGTCCCCGGAGCTCTTACTCCGCCTTCCTCTGTCGCGCTGTTGTCATGCGATCCGCCTTCAGGTAATATCCAGGCGGCCCACCAATAGCACCAAGGCTCATAGATACTGCAGTTGCCATGCGGATTGATAAGGCTGTTAAAGTAGCTCTCTAGCCATGCCGCAAAAGATATATGCAAGTCGTAGGACGAATGGAATTGAGGGTGCCCATGGTGCAATCACCTCTTGACGACATAAAGATGGCAGACCGATTCTCGGTCAACATGGCTCGTCGACCTACTCCAACTATCCATTGATTCCAGGCCAAAGACTCAGCGACTCCCTAATAACAATCACTTCACTCCATCTCAAAACACGCTCTGCCTTTCCTACCGAGGTTCTGTCCAACTTCACCCCGATTAATGACTACATCACTTCTGTCGTCTGATCGGAGGGTTCGCACATCCTGCCTACCTCGCGATACCTGATTGGCAGTTATGGATGCCCAGCTGCCGACGCTCGATGATATTCTTTTGAACAACGCCTCACCACCATGGACTTTACGTGCTTTCGCAGCTTATCTGAATCAACACCGCTGCCTCGAGGTCCTTCAGTTCGTTTTCGACGCTGATCGTTATGCCACATGCTATGAAGCGTCGGTTGAAAACAATGCTACGTCATCCAACAACAGTGGCGCAGTCGACGTGCTATGGCGGAAGCTGATGCAATTATACATCTATCCCTCTGGCAGGCGACAACTCAACATACCTGAACGGGAGCGAGAGCATCTACTGCATCTCCCATCCCTCCCTCCGCCTCATCCTTCTGAGCTTCGTGAGGCTTGTCGATGCGCATACGATCTGCTGAATGACTCATTGGCTGCTCTATTCCATGCGAGGGAGCCGATGAACCCCCTACGGCGATCCGACCCAATACCACGATCAACCGGCTATAAAAGTCGCGGCTTGTGGAGGCGACCGGGGCGCTTATCATGTGACCCAGAGCTAGAGTCTCAAGCGACAAACGAGGACGGGAATTCAAGTTCACTTACAAGACGGAGTCGTTATGCATTCATAACAAATGTTAAAAGGATAGCTGCTGCTTTAGGTTGTGCTCACGCGACATGATGTGCTACTATCTCGCCGCCAGCAAAGGAGCTCAGATTCAGGACGTGTCAACTTTCAGATACCTCAGTGTGGCGTTCAATTGATGACATTAGGCTTTTCAAGTTTATCTTGTGATTCCAAAGTCAACAAGATCCCACGTTGATTAATAACATCCGCGTTTGAATATTGGACAATTGGAAGCATACCACTCTTTTGGCTGTGAAGAGAATGACACTTTGTATCCTCTGGCTTGTAACTCGCCAATGACATACGATACGCCGTGTCTCCGTAGAATGACCATATATATAAACTACTGCCCACCTTCTCATCGTACTACTTGAAAGACTGTGGCTGGATGATAGCCCACAAACGGTCGAGGGGAGCCCAAATATGTCACAATGAGTGAAAAAAGCATTCATTAGTCCATCACTTCGACGAGTCACCTTTCGTTCCGTACTGACTCTGGCATGGTTCGAAGGAAATAGATGCCTTATACCGCACGTCCATTGAATGAGTACAACCGCATGAATTGACTTTTTGGAGGCGCTATTCAGCTGCGATAGGGACGTCCGATTTGCAATCTCAGCCAAGAGAATCTCTACATGAGACTGAAGGTGTCCCAGCTTACGCTTCGGTTGAAAGAGTGTGTGAGGAATGAAGTGTCCCCCCAACAATCGCACAAGACCCTGCGTCAACTTTTCAATGTATGGCGAGGACTATCCTTCAAAGGAGGGTCCACTGCCTGAAGTCACTCCACACCAAAGGCGTCACCCCCATCTTGCACAGCGAGAGCAACTGGATCGCCTAAGTTAGTAACCGTCCCTGCTGTGGACGAAAGTGATCCTGCAGCAGCCGAATTCGCTATCTCGGAGCAACTGGTCTTACAGACAGCACCACAAGACCTATATTCAGGAAAGAGCCTTGTCTATAGTGCATTAACCTGCTGCCAGCCATGGTCTCTGGATGGGGCGTGTATGTGTCGGATAAGGCTGCCTCT